AACTGTTAATTATTAACTGTTAATTCTTTAACAGTCGCGGAAATGAGCGCGTTTGTTTGCGCTCGTTCCGTGAAATCGTTTCGACAAACATTGGGCAAGATTACATCGTTAATTGCTTCAAGAGTCATCAAATTCTATTAAATACATAGGCGACGACGTTTATCATATACTTTTTTCAAAGATTACATTACAGACACTTGGCAAACAACAAAACGGAAATTGGCATTAAAACAATGAATGATAAAGCGAATGATAAAAGTAAGCGGGTATATAAATACGCGGGTATATCGTGACCGATAAACCGTATGTACGTACTCCAAAAATTTACTGGGTCATTCCATAAATATAATGTGGTATAAAAGAGAGCTTGATTTAATTTTTAATTCAAAAGACTTTTATCGGCGCATGGAATTGAAATTTTTAAATTAAGACGGGAAGTTGTAAATAATAATGAACTATAAATTTTGGATTTAAATGAAAATGTCAAATTTTATCGGCGAGGAATTGAAATTTTAAAATTAAGACGGGGACAAGTTGTAAATAATAATGAACTAAGGTGGAGTGGGGTAAAACCGACCCAGAAATTGTAAAGTTTACTTTAAACTGATGTATTTTCTATCTATTCCACTAAAACCTAATAATCTTAGTGTTTTTATTTAGCGCATGGTTTATTCTTTAAGTTGCATTAATTTGGGTTAAAAATGACTTCTGAAACTTATGATTTTCTTAATAAATTAAAAACAGTGCTGCTAGGGCGGACTTGCCCCGGAACTGGGGCAAAACTGCACCTACCTGTTTAAAAATTATTTAATCTTATTTCCTTATATTATGGGGCAAAAGCGGAATTATTATGGAAACACCATGAACTTTCTCGAACGAGTTAAACGGGGGAATCACAGAATACATGGCGGCCACCTATGTTGATCATTGAATACTAACCAAAGGAAGATTTCTACCTTACAGTTGGTACAATGCAACGTATATTCGAATAAATAAGGGCCTAGTGCGGATTTGCCCCGTGTACGGATTTATCCCACTGCACCTTA